ATTTTGCACATAAAAAGGATATCAATAAATTAAAAAACCAAGGAAATATCAAATGACATAAAGCCTAGTAAAGTGTTAATTTAAATAGAAATTAAGTATTGCATGTATTTTACAATTAAGCATTTTAAAATCATTTGCAAAAGAACATTTTAATTATTAAATATCCCACACAAATCATCACAATTAAGGTTGCCTGCTTAATAAGTATCCTTCATGTAAAAAAAAATTTGTGCAGAATTTCAAACATAGATGCCCAACCCAAACAGCACGCAAGTCCAAGTCTGATATAAATTTAGGCTAGAAAGTTGAACGCTTTAAAAAACTATTGATGCTAACTTAAGTGAGACGACCAAGTGACCAAGAACTACAAAGTCATACAAACGTGGAAAGTATAAAAATATATTTGGAAATAAATATAATGCCTGTGTTAAGTCTAACATAATTTTTTATCCCTAATTTTACATTATCAATGCTTTTTTCTTTAATAGAGAGTTTATGTACCTACGAGAGGCACAGTTTTTAAAACTGTGGTTGTTGGTTGCTTTCCAGGCTTTAAAATCCTATCAGGAATCTGTAAGAGGGGCTATCTATAAATATTATTTTACGTAAGAAAATTTGTGCTAATTTGACAGGCAAAAGAGTTTCATATCTTCATATACTAAGTTACTAACACATTTTAACATCTTATTTAAGATACAGACATTTGCATTCTCTTTTGTAAATTACCTACTCCTGTCCTTTGCATATTTTTATATTGGGAGCTGAGTATTTCTCATTTTACTTTGCCTAAGTGTGTTATATTCTGACCTTAAATCTTTGTTAATTTATCTTTTAATTATTTATTCAAAATTTTTTGGTCACTTATTAAACCATTAACAGTTTGTTAACTCTTTAGTTTATCTGGAATTTATCTTAATTTTGATATAAAGTGAGACTATAAATGATTTCCCTCGCCCCAAAGACCATTTATTGAATAATCTATCACTTTCTTCAATGATTTGCAAGGTTTCCTCTATTACATTATTACACCCTTACACCTGGGTTCCATTTTGCTTGAATTCTGTTCTCCTGATCTATGTATTTGTGTACAACTATTTCCAGCCCCCATCATCTATCTGTCAGTTTATCATATTGTGGTGGCTTGTGTGTTGCTGTGATACTGGAAGCTATGCCAACAATATTTCAAATATTAGCAAATATCTGGTTTCAGTGGGGCTTCCAGACTAAGACAGAATAGGAAGAAAGGACTGACGATCTACTTCCAAATACCAGCCAATGAAAACTCCATGGATCACAACAGAATGTCATTTGATGTAGTGTTGGAAGATGAGCCCCTTACGTCGGAAAGCTGCAAAAATGGACTTAAGAATGAGGATGGCCCAGGACCGGGCAACATTTTGTTCTGCTGTACTTGGGTTTGACATGAGTTTGAGCCAACTTGAAGGCAATAAACAACACTTCCGTCCACCTAAGCCACTCACTCTGATAGTCACATCATTTATCCTGGACTTTATCAGGGTTGGAAATGGTATCTCATATCACTAATTTAGGCACTCTTGCTTTTTTTCACCAACCACTTCCTACTCTTTCAGCTTGCTTCCATCTACTCCCATAATAAGCCTTTTTCAACTCAATCAGGATCTCCAGTCTTTGAGGCTCTACTACCTTCTTCTGTATCTACCTCAACTCCGTCTTCATAGTCTTTCATTACCAGCTTATATTCCTTAATCAATTATTTCAATTACATTCAATCCACACATTTTTGCTGAATGTCTACAATTTGCTGTCACCGTATGAGGCCCTAGAGAGACAGTGAAGACAGACAAATTCCCTGCTCTCCTGAATATGTTACCGTAGGGGGTAGACAGAAAAACAAAGTAACAGTCATTTCAATTATTGAGTCCAGGGAGGGAAGAAAGTACTAGAAAGGACAGGAACCAAAATGTAAGCACTACTCTACACAAAGTCATTAGGGAGTAACACTCTGAATAGACAGGGATACTCGGCAACCAAGGCAGAAGAGCACCCAGCTAAGAGAAGACATTCCAGGCAGAAGGGCTGCAAAAGCAAAGCTCTGCAGCTAGAAAGAGCTTGCCACGTCGTTCCATCTGCCTTTGTATTACACTCAGTTAGTTCTGGGAGAAGCCAAATCTTTGCTTTCGTTGTACTTCACTATGGAGAAAACTACTGAACGAGGCCGAGGGAATCAAGTGAGCCTTAATTTCTCTGGTCAATTTGCTCTCACACTCTCTGCATCCACTATTTCAAACCTTCTCCTTAGAACTCTCCACTCTCCAATCTGCTCATGCTTAACAAATGAACTCAACTCTCCAGAGAGAAAATAGAAGCCATCAGACAGGAATACCCTTAACTCCCTATTCCAAACCTACCAGAATCTGCCCGTTACAACAGAAAAGGCGTTCGTTCTATTAAGACTAGTCATTCTGCTTTGCTCTCAAATTCCTCTCCTCCCATCCCTCAGCAACATTACTCTTTCCTTTCTCTCTTTTCCATAGCATACAACTTCAGCCTTACTGTGTCCACGTCATGAGCATTTCTACTCGCTTCAATGTGACAACTTTCAGTCCTTAAGAAACGTCCCCTTGAGTCAAAATTGTACAAAGATTAAATGGGCTGCCACGGAAGATAGTTACCCATTCTGTGTGTTCAAGAGAAACTAGATGTCTGATGGCAAGGAAAGTAACAGAGGATTCACATACGAGATCAGGAGTTGAACAGGTGCATCTGCCAGATTTCTTCTGACCTTAAGAATTTCTGATTCAAAAATAACTGAAGTGGTCTATTGAGAATGTCTATAAAAATGTTAAGTTTAGTATAGTCAATGACTCAATACTTAGGATACATTTATAAACTTTTTGTTATGAAGGATATAAAAATCTACAGGATACATGCCTGTCGTCACTTTTGAAATGAACAGCCTTAAAACTCAACTAAATGAATCAAAACGATACACAGGGAGCTGTCTTTCCATCTCTACCTCAAGTAAAGTCAGATGGTAACCTGCAAACTCCACATTGGAGCACTGACGAACTCTCACCTACACTCTGGAGCCTCAGATATTCTGATGGTAGCTGGGGACAGCAGAATTACCATCAAGAATTTACGCATGAGCTTATCCCAAGGTGATCGTATATAAGAGTTAACCCCCCTCAGGATACGTCTTCATAAATTATACAGCCAGCGTCTTTCATTATTATCATCAACTGACCTTCAAGGAGCACCATTCAAGTTTGGAGATATTTGAAGAAAGCAGTGATAGTTCCTACAATCTCAAGATGTGTTTCCATTACACATCTTCAAAACGCATGATCATCTCAAAGTTTAGCGGTCAAGGGCTCTGCCATGATATTTCAATTAACGTAAGCTAACGCATAGTAGCTTTTACTTATATTGTTGATTCTTTTGTTAAAATAAAGACTCTTGCAACAAACATTTAAAAAAGTAACTTCTAGAAATTGGCAGTATGTGGGGCTGTGTAAATTGACCCTGGTCCATTGCCTTTTCTCCTCCTCTAATATTTGAAAGGAAACCCTGGCGGCGTAGTGGTTAAATGCTACGGCTACTAACCAAAAGGTTGGCCGTTTGAATCCACCAGGTGCTCCTTGAAAACTCTATGGGGCAGTTCTACTCTGTCCTATAGGGTTGCTATGAGTCGGAATTGACTCAACAGCACTGGGTTTGGTTTTTGTTTAATATTTGAAAACAACCTCAAGAATTAATTATAAGTTAACACTTAATGGCTCAAAGTAGAAATCTGCAATTATTTTAAAGAGCTAAGTATTTCTTATTGCAAAATAAGAAGATACTTAACTAGTCAATAATTTGCAAACAACTCCATCTGTAGTTATAGCTACCTAGCTAGCTATATTAGATAGACAGATAGGCAGACAGACAGACAGGTAACAAAACATTGGGGCTACTTAAAATATGAAATTACTCATCAGGAAGCTCTCTATAACGCCTTGAGTATAGAAAAGTATTTACCTAATACATTACCTCTTTATAAAAGAACATTTATTTTCTTAGAGAGATCTATTAAATTTAGGACTTAATATGTTCTGCTCAGCCAATACTCCGATTGTTTAGCTATTTTTAGTAATTGTTTAAAAATAGAAACTTAGCACTGCCTGAATACACTAATGATCTTGAATAACTTTAATGTTCCTAAAGAGAGGTACTCTGATGATCATCTTATGTTACAATTCCAAAGGAGCAAAGAACTATACTTTATATAGTTGAGTATAATGTCCTTTTTGTTAGAAACCACCTATTATTAATAGTTTGTATTTGAAGGCCCAGAAAGGGGTCTTTTTCTTGTATTTTAGTGATTTTTCCTAAATTTCCATTTTCTAAGCCAATGAACTTACTCCTTAAAAGTTAAAATTACTTTGTTTGTAAGACATTTTTGGAATCCCATAGATCTAGTTTCTTTCCTATCCAAGAATTTATTTTAAACACAAAACTAAATTTATAGGTAATTTAAAAAGTTACAAGAAAAATAACTCATTGATTAAATTTCAACAGTCCCTCTCTTTTGCCCTAGTCAAGACTTTAATTTTAAAAAATTTATCATAAAAGCATACTCTGAAGTTTTCCTGTTTTTTTAGTCAAGAAAGATTAATAAATCTAGTATATCGACAATCAAATTAATAAAACATTTAAAGTTAAGAGAAACAACTCCATTGCAACCACTCTATTTAAAGTTCCGAAAACTGGTAAGAACTGAGCGAAGTACAATTAATCAATAATTCTACTTCCTAAAACAAGCATACCCATGGCCATCAAGTCGACTCCAACTCATGGAGACCTAGAACATGCTATATGTCTATGTGAGGCATAAATATTGATGTTTTATGTATTTATATGCACATGAAATATACACACATATATTTTACTTTTTAGATTTCATCAGTTTAGAATCATAAAACTCTTTGGAATAAATAAAAACGAAATAAATGACAAGGAAAACATCTTCTTACCTGATAGATATCAGAAAGACTGCTGCTTCCAGAATCACTAGTGATACTACATCCTGAATGGCTAGAAGAAACGTGGGTCACCTGTGGGTGGAGACTGTCAGTAAGGTGTAGTTTTGTGAAATCTGCAGGAAGCTACGGAAGGAGCAGGAAAAACTAGGATTACAATCTGAATTAAGTACTCCAAGAAGACATTTTTAAGTTATCATTTAAACTCTATGTCATGCTATTTACCCAAAAATGTTATTAGGAAAGATCCTTCCTTCATTTTTAAAATTCACAAATTACTGGATACTTTCCTATTCATCAAGAATCACAAAATAAAATGTTTAAATATATGGGCATACAATAAACCTTAAATAATATTAAATTCAATGCTTCAAAAATAGGTGGGTTGGTTGATTAACATTTACTTAGGTAAGCATTTAATTCAATGAGCTACAATTTTAAAAATTATACATCAATGTATGAATTCATTTACTACTATTTGTTAGCAATCACGAATACAACTGTGTCAATAAACAGTTTAAACAAGAAAACAGAGTTGAGGTTCTTATATGCCCAAATCATGTTTAAATGTGAAAAAAAAAAAAAAGAACATCTTAGAATTGATAAAATGCAGTGGAGAAAAGAATGCAAAGAATGCCTTCAAAGAACTTACAATCTAGAAAGGTCTGGGCAACACTGTCTATACATACACATACACATAAATATGAACTTTCTCCCTGTTCATATTCTAAACCCTAAATAAAAATAGTCTCTATTAAAATAAACTGATTCATAGTATCTCTCAAAACTTCTCCCATCTCTCACCTCCCATATTATATATCAAAGAATATTCTCCCATCTCTCACCTCATATTATATATCAGAGAATATTCTCCCACCTCTCACCTCTCATATTATATATCAGAGAATATTCTCCCATCTCTCACCTCCCATTATTATATATCAGAGAATACACATTAAGAAAGAAAACATTCATACATTTATTCATTCAAAAAATATTTACTGAGCCTTTTTTTCTTCATTTGTTAGTGTATAAAGCATTAAGGAAACAGTGTCTTTAATAATCTTACACTCTTAAAAGTTACCAGTGCTTTTTTTGAATTAAAAAAGACACTTATTTGTCCATACTATCAAACTTATTATACTAACAGCTAATACACATTATATCTCAAGATATATTCTAACTGCAATTATTCAACATTGATTACATTCTCTCTTCCTGCCTGAATAAACAAACAAACAAACAAAAACACCCATTTCCATCAAGTCGATTCCAACTCACAGCAAACCCATATGAATACTGGTCCCCTTTAGCTAGTGAATAATAATAATAATAAAGGCTTGATTGTTAAAATAATATTTAACCAAGAGTTTACTTTAGCAGTATTTCCTTCTCCGCTTTGGCCTTCAAACCTCCCCTTCCTCCCTCCCACAAAAACAAAAAAACAAAAAAAAAACCCCACAATGCCTCAAGAGGGAGACAATTCAGGTTTATGACAATGATCAGATGATGGGTTTTGAACCTCAAAGTTCCAAACAAATACACAGAATGATTTTATATCCCACAATCATTCAGACCTGACTGTATGAACAGATGATGTCCCATCTTCCCCCTACAGGTACGTAAGATTTAGCAATATTTACGTAAATCAATTCAGAAAGGTAAGTTTTTAACTTCACGGGAGACAATTTATACAATGGAAAGCTTTAAACATGAATTTACGAGGTGGCATACGATTGGATGTCAAATAAATGGACGGAAGCACAAACGCTGAGGGAGACCAGAGAAGTGAGATGCTTACTTAAACGTGGGGTATCAGTGCAACCATGACCTACCTCACTAAGAGCAGTTTTCTTAAAACTGATAATTGAAGATGTTGTGGAATATTATATAAAATTTAGAAGAATCATCTCCCCAGAAGCAATAGATAACATGTAAATAAATATCTCTAAATTGAGAATTTATATATTTTATTCACAATGTAGACTAGTGAAATAATTGAGGAACAATTTGAAGATAGAAGTTTGCACAGAGATGTATTCATGACTGTGCTTTTACACGCAGCTAGGCAGTGGATATTAAAATAAATAATGTGTTCAAAACCAGGATAACTATCCTTCATCTTCCTAGCTACATTTCAACTTAATTCAGTCACTAACCACAGAAGGCAACTGGGAAACATGACTCTATGGCATGGTGATTGTACACGACATCAATCAATACACGTAATAACAGACTAATAAACAGATTTCTATTGACTACCTTTTACAAACATGACTCAGGTTGCTATGTGCCATATAGTACGATTTTTAAAAAAATGACTGAAATAACATCAAATGACGATATAACTCTCTAATGAATTCTCACTCACTAAACTATTGATGAAAAGTCTCATAGGACTCTCTTGTCTTCAGCCTCCATCAGCTGGTCATCTTTCCTAAGAATTCACTGTGTGGACAGCACTGCGAGCTGCAAGAGCACCAAGCATAACAGACGAGAGATACAGAGCCTGCCTTTGTAGACCATAATCTACTCATCCATGCCTACTTAGAGCCACAAACATCATTACCTGACTGGGTTAGGTTCAGAGCCATAGACTGTCTAAGGAGAAAGAAGAAATACTTTTCTTTTAAAAATCCAATTCTATTTAATAAATACTCATTGAGTTCCTATGTCAGATACTTTGCTAGGGGCTGGGAATATTGAGGTGAGTAAGATGTTTCCTGTTCCAGACTTAATTTCAACTACCTCAAAATTCACTGCGATAGGAGTTATGAGTGACAGAAGAATAAATTAAACATAGTTTTCCAAACACAGTTTTTGTCCTTCACCGTGTTCTTTGAAGAGCAGCATGATATCTTAAACTAAAAGTAAACGTATATATAATTTTTTTTTTCTCTTGGACTTAAGTCTTCTTAAACTTGGCATCTGTTCTTACATTGCTTAAAGAGGCATTTAATATATAATTTAGTATGAACTAAATGTCTCTTTAAGCAATGTAAGAACAGATGCCAAGAAAATTTAAGTCCATTAGAAAAAAACTATAAAAAATATTTTTTCGTAAACTGTGATAACACCATTAGTAAATGTTATTAACAGTATGTATCAGTCAAGGTTATAGACTAAAAGAAGTTACAGAAAAGCACACAGCTAAGAGGAAAAGTGCTGAAATGCACTGAGTTGCCCAACCACAGCACTCCAATGCGACAGACCTGAACCCATGCTTAGGAGAAATGGAGTCTGCAGGAGACAAACGAACTGGGTGGGGCTGGGAGCCAGAGGCAGACACAGCCACGTTCGCACCAACGGGCCTTAGGGTGACACAGAGCCTCCTCGGGAGAGAGCCATTCATGTCTGAGTAAGATATACAAACAAGGCACACCGTGCCGAAGACCTCAAGATTCACTGATTCCAAACTTTTCCAGGTTTAACTAAGTGCCTATTAAATTAACTACTGGTATGCTATTTAATTAAATTACGGATTAAAATGAGGTTGTGAATTATTGTGTGACTCTAGCCACCATCTGTAATAAAAATTCTGTTCAAAAAATAACGAAAATTTTGTGAAGTTGGGATTATATACAGTGATTATCCAAATATAATCAAATAATAAAAGGGAAGTTAACACATTATGTACATTTTGATCTTAATATATCTAAACAATACATTTCCCAACAATTCATTAATGATACAATTCAAAAATTTCTGTGACTTAGCCTTTTTATTTTTATCATTTAAATGCTTTTATTTTAATGTTTGATTGTATGAATCTTTGACTTCTCAAATTCTTTCTGGAACAAGCAACCTAAAAATATACTGTGAATCACAACTGTAATAAACTACAGTTAGGCAAATAATGAAATCATAGTGTAACTACAACCACTGTTAGATACATAAGAAACAAGTGTAATATTTCAATCAGATGCTTAAATGCATAAAGTAAGCATAAACCTAAAATTGATCATAGTTTCATGAAACTTTGGTATCATTTGTATAACAGCTTGTTTTATTCTTTGCAACAGAGATGTTACCAAAATTAGCTTTAAATAAGGAAGTACAAGACTTAAGACTTAAGTCTCATATATGATAGGCATTTGATAGTCACTGATTTATTAATAAATCTGACAGCATTTTTAAATTAGAAGTTCATTAACTATTTTGAACATAAATGCAGTGAGTATGAATGCCTTGAAGTCTCTGATACCAATAAGTAAATATTTCGTTGAACAGGTGAAATTCCTCAAATGGGTGATAATTTAGTAGAGACTAGGGTGGCTCCCCTCCTAGCCCCTTCCTTCTCTCCCTCGGAATCACGGAATCACTAACAACCAAGCTTCTGTGGCACCAGATTCCCAATCCAACTAGAGTGTCTAGGGCAGGGTGGGTATGAAGTTATGTTTCCAGCAGCTTTTGTAACAACAAGAGTTTCATGGTCCACAATGCATATTATCATCTTGGGGTCTCTGAGAAACCCATTTCGAAAACAAACTAAACCAAAACCACCCCCATAACCATCAGTAGAAATTTATTTAACTGATACATTCCCAAACTAACCTGACCTTGGAATCCCTTCACTTCAAGTAATATCTACAATAGAACACACAGGTTTGGGTTTACTGTTGGACTCTATCCAATTCTCCCAGGCAGCTTACCATAGTGCTAAAAAACCAAAAACCAAACCCGTCGCCATCCAGTCAATTCTGACTCTTAGCAACACCACAGGACAGAGGAGAACTTCCCCATAGGGTTTCCAAGGCTGTAATCACAAGACCGCCAGGTCATTCCCCCGCAGAGCGGCTGGTGGGCTCAAACCACCGACTACATTAAATATCACACTTAGTGACTAAAAACTAACCCCGTATTAAAATACATCACTAAGAATTTACCAAAACAAACTTGCTTTCCCCACATCATCACTGGAGTTCTGAGTCCTCTTTATGCCCCTCATGCTCTTCAGATCTGCAAGGAGTCAGAGGAGTACAGTACTACACGTTTCCCATCTCTCTCTGAGACACAGTCTCAGGCCATACATTCATCATTTATGAAAAGCCTGTGATAGGAGGACTGAGTGAATTAACTAATGGGCATAAGGTGCTTCGAGCTGTGCCTGGCATGCAGAAATCACT